TTGGGTGGGGGGCACACCTCCACATGCACTGAGCTCAAGGTCGGTGGTCCAACAGGACCTAAAGAACAAGACAAACTGGCTGGAACTCAGAGCCATACATATGGCCCTAAAGAGATTCAGCAATATAGTACAGAGCCAACATGTCCTGATTTTAACTCACAGCATTACAGCCAAAGCCCATGTCAACAGACAAGGGGGGACAAGGTCCAGGCCTCTCATGCAGGAGGCCAAATTGCTGGGGTCCTGGGCGGAACTGAATCTTGCCTCCATCAGGGCGGAGCACATATCTGGAGTGACCAACCAGCAGGCGGACTCACTGAGCAGAGTAACCATGGATCATTCCGAATGGCAGCTGGATCCGAAGGTGTTCAGAGAGATCGTGGACGGGTTTGGTTCCCCAACCTTAGACCTTTTGCCTCCCCCACCAACTCACAACTTCCCAGATTCCTTTCCGGGTTCCCATCTCCATCAGTGGAGGGAACAGATGCGCTCCGCAGTCCCTGGCCCAGGGAACTGCTCTATGCCTTCCCTCCTCTGCCGCTTCTTCCTGCCATGATCAGGAAGATCCTTCGCAAACGCAAAAGATCCTTCCTGCCACGATCAGGAAGATCCTTCGTAACCAGGTCCTCCTGGTTGCATAACATTGGCCGAGACGCTCTTGGTTCGCCGACCTAATGGAGCTCTCCGCATCCCTTCCAGGGAAGGTCCCAGCAAATCGCATTTCCCTCATTCAGGGGGAACTACGCCAACCAGTCCCTCAAAGGCTCCAGTTAACCGTCTGGCACTTGAGAGGCAGGACTTAGGCCAAGACTCATATTCGTTGAAAGTCATAGCTATGATTCAGCAATCCAGGCAACCCTCGACGAATACAATATACGATGCCACGTGGAGAGGCTCCCGTAATTGGTGTTCGGTTCAAAATTGACCTTTTGGCGGTTTCAACGCCAGTTATCTTGGAGTTCCTGAGGGATGGTCTAGACAAGGGGCTTTCTACAAGCACCATCCGCAGGCAGGTAGGAACACTTGCCACAGTTATTTCCTGCGGTAATGAATCCTTAACACATCACCTTATGATATGCTCCTTCCTAAAAGGAGCTAACAACGCCAGCCCATCAACTGTACATGGATACCCCTCATGGCATCTTCATCCGGTTTTATAGGCTCTTGTTTCACACTTTGAACCTATTGACACTTGTTTATTCAAACAGTTATCGATGAAGGTGGCACTTCCTGTTGATGTAACTTCAACCAGAAGGATCTCTGGACTGGCTGCTCTTCAGTGAGGAAGGACTTGTGTACTTTCCATAAGGACAGGGTAACTCTTAGGCTAGACCCCTCCTCCGTGACTAAGGTTAAGTCCTTGTATCATAGATCTCAGGAAATAGTTTTGCCAGACTTCTGTCCTAATCCATCTAATGACATAGAGGTTCAGTGGAAAAAATCGGATGTGCCCAGGGCTTTATGTTGTTATATACAGAGAACCTCATCCTTCCACAGAACAGAGGCTCTGTTTGTGTCCTATCACCCTTCATCACTAGGTCAGAGGGTTTCTTCACCCCCAATACACAGGTGGATTAGAGCTTGTATTTCTCTGGCATACCAGACTCAGTCACTGCGAGATCCCAGGCATATCACGGTCCATTCCACTGGGGCGCAGCTATTATAGCTGCCTGGTGTACTCAGGCCTCCGTAGAGGAAATTTGTAGAGCAGCAACATGGGCATCGCCCTCTTCCTTTGTCTGTCACTACAAGATGGATATATATGCATCTTCTACGGCTTCATTTGGCCGCAAGGTTCTAGAACACGCATTAACATCGGATGGGACCCAGGCCCAATCTAATTCCCCACCCTAGGGACACAGGGCTTTGGTATGTCCCATCCGTGGGTTCTCCATCCAATCATGCTGGAGAAAGGGGCGTTGTCTTACCTGAACGCCTTTTCTCAGCATGATGATGGAGAATCCACTCCCTCCCATTAGGTCAGTTGGCCTGGTTCCCATATTGTTCAGATGCGTCGGACTAAAGTCTGAGTATCGCCTTAGCCTAAAACTGGGGTGCAGTTGGCACAGAGGGGGCGGTACTAAATTTCAGACTTAGTCTAATTGGAGCAGATAGATTAAGACAACCCATCCGTGGATTCTCCATCATCATGCTGAGAAAAGGCATTCAGGTAAGACAACGCCCCTTTTTCTCTTTGAAGACATTTTGCTTCTCATCCCAGAAGCCTCTTCAACTCTGAGAGCACGTTTGGAAAAACCAGTCAGCATCTGGATGAGTGAGAATCTCCATAGACACTTATTCAAAAGATGCTCTTGTAGAGCTGTTTTCATATTGACTCAGGCCATTTGTTGGGATATATAAAGGTTCTAATCCTGACTCTTTTCAGCACAACCTGAATGTGAAAATAACTCTCAGGTAGATCTAGTGGAAACTTCCATGCTATCAGACTTCTGCATATGCTCAGCGGATACAGATTCAGAAAATGTGCTTACTGCAAAAAAATACTTGAGACTAAAAGGCAATAAAAGTGAACTTTTTTTTAATAAGGCATTCTTGTATTGTTGGGTCTACTATTTTAAAAAGTTAGCTTGTGATAGACCAATGCAAAAGCAACAATTCATATGGCTTCTCTGATCTCACTCCGCATCCCTACTAAGTCAGATAGTTTTTCTGAATTCTGATTCTTGCCTTGTAACTTGATTTTTGTCTTTTGCTTTTCAACATGGTTTTGCTTTACAAATAAGTTGCATTTATAGCCGTCTTTCAGTTTCACAACTTCATGACAGTTTCTGATTGACAACACTGCGGAATGAAACTGCATTTAAAGTGAGTGCTTTGCCCCGATTTATGGTAGCAGAATGAGATTGTAAAGAAAAGATTGGACAATTTGCTGGCAAAAAAAATGGTTCATATTATTTCATTTGAGCTTTTTCAATACATTATCCAAACCGAACAAATCCCTCTATTCGTTTTTGAAAGGCACTCCATCGAACTATATCATGTGCTCTTAGTCTGGCTGAGAATGCTGGGAATTGAAGTTCGTACATCTTAATGTTGCCAAGGTTGAGAAACATTGTGCTAATCAGCAACACTGGAGAAGAAAAATGTGAGCATCCTAAACTAATTGCTTTCTTGAAGTAATTGTTTCCTGTGGCAATTCAAATTATAATTTCTCTATTTTCATATGAAAAGCAAACTTGCTTTACTTGTGACCTTCCTATATATGTCTCTGAACTTCAAAATGTAAAAGAATACCACCATGATCTCCTGCATTTACAAAACTGATGTTTCCACTCATGGATGACCTTTAGCAAGTTATTTGTTATGAATGCAGCTGAGTCTGTATTTCAAAATGGTCAGAATGCAGCTTTGCAAAATGTTGGTAACATTATCTCCTTGCAGCAGTTGATTTGCTGAAAGTCTTTGTGTAGTGTTGGCACAATCATTCAAATTTATGTATTAAGAATTAATTTAAAAGTTATGCCTGGAATTGGCTTGTTTCCATTTTCTAGGCATTTGTATTTCAAAACAAATGAAATGCCTTGGATGATGCTTCTTTATTGTATATTAATAAAACTCAGATGCGTGGTAGAAATTAAAATGTGTTTACAGCTTTTTTCACTGAGCTTGTTCTTTCAATATTTTAATCTCTGCTTGCCACCTTAATCAGGGAAAGTATTTGCATTCAGTTGTACTTTTCCTACAAATGCAATTTACCACTTCGTTCAATAAAAGCTGAGTTTGGCAGTTTGAGTCCTTGTTTATTCCCTTTTAGAAGATTCAACCATTGGTTTTACGTATTATGGCTAAATTCCTCACTAGCCTGTGCAAGTTTGTCAAATTAAGGATTTATCCAAGTAATTAGTCAAATTTTATTCCAGCTAGATATTAGTCTTTACAGGATGGTCCCAAAGCCTGAAATCAAAGTGATAGACAGACATATAGTAGCCCATGTTTAAGAACTACAGTTTTTTCATTTCCACTCCATCAAGTGTTAATCTGCATTGTATTGTTTTGACTGCTGATTCTTTCACTATGATATTTTATCCTAAAAGGTAGAGACTATTGATCTTTTAAGTTTAAGAGAATATTTTTATATTCAAATTATTAGCCCCTTTTATCAGATTTTTCCTGCTACTCATGTTCTTACAACTGTTTTATTGGCATAGTAGTATTCTGGAAAAGGAATTACAGTCATGTAATATTAAATACACAAATAAAAAGTCTTTTTCTGTAATTGCATTGGCTTGCTGTGTATCATACTTCATTGCTGAAATTAAATATAGAGATCTTAAGGAGATGTAGATAGAAAGATGTCATAAAAATTACATAAATATATTATAATAATGCCAAACTGAAATGCCAACTTCCAGATAATTATGTTACTTTATGAAATGATAAAAACTATTAATAAAGGGGGTACATAGCAGAAAAAAAGGAAAAATGGCACTACTGCCTAATAACCAGAAAGGTGATCCTTTGCCTCATTCTAGTTATACACTGTTTATTAATCAGAACATGATAGGCATGAAGATATTCACTTGGCATTTATTCCATTGAAGGAAATGCAGTTTAGATAGATGATACTCACGTCTGGATCTATATTTGCTTCATTGTCCATTTTCCAGCACCATGACATAGACCAGACATGTCAAACACAAGGCCCGGAGGCCGGATGCAGCCCGTGAAGTGGTGTTATGTGGCCCGTAAAGCCATCCTGGAAACAGTGACAGAATGGCCCCCGCTGCCTTGGCCCTCGCCCAGGCCAAGTGGGAGCCAATGTACAATTTCGTGGTGGCCATCTTGGCACTTGTCCCAGTGGACCATGCCTTGGCACTTGCCCCGGTCTCACCCCCTTCTGCCAGAGATCCTCAGATCTGTCCCACTCCTGGCCAGGCCCCCCATAGGCACCCTTGATGCGAATGATGTAGAACTGGCCATGCCCATCCTGTAGGCCACACCCACCCATTAGGCTGCACCCACTCTGACCACACACACACACACACACAGGGCAACCACAATGCTGATGTGGCCCTCAGTGAAATTGAGTTTGACACCCCTGACATAGACTGTTACTTTAAAGACTATGACTGTTCATAGATCAGTGTAAGAGAATGTGTCCACACATATAACAGGTGCATGATTTGCTGTTCCACATTACACCACATGACACTATATAAATTACAGTAAAAGTCTTGCAATTGGGTAGGAAAGTTGTCTTTCTTTCTCTCTTTTCCTTTTATAATAAGAGTAATAGGAAGGATATCAGGCAAGAGCTTTTGATACGTTACTTGGCTCTGGAATTCATCATACTTACTTTGAGATACTCTCAGTTGTATCAGCCAGGGGAGAGTAACTTGGCATGTTGAAACAACAGTGTTCCTAGCTGGGAAGAGCAACTGCTGTGAAAAGAAACAGGAAAACACATGTGTGAGAATTTATCTAATTTTTTCTCTGTGCCTTTTTCTGATGGATAGGTTTTGGTAGACAAAATGAAACTTTTAAATTAGTGAGAGTAGTTGCTTTTTTATTGACATGGAAAAATTGATTTATCATTCCCAAAATTCCAAATTTCATCTTACATGTTAGAAATTATGAAATACTCTTTTCAGTGCTCTCAAATTCTATCCTTCTGATTTGTGATTACTGATCATTTTTGGGAGTACACAGTAAAAATGGTTCAATTTAGGATTTTATTCTGCTGAATTAAAAAAATGAATTAATGTAATTGTTGGTTTATGGTTGAAATTTAATTTCAGTTTTCCTTATTTTATTCACAAAGGCATTAGTGAATATATACTCCAAACATCTATTCACGGGAAAGCCCCTTTGGCAGTCTAATAAGAATCTTATTTTGCTGTAGATTGTAGTATTTGTAATGTCTTCATTAGCCAGAAACTGAACATGCACACATGGGTCAGCACAAGATATTTGGCTGCATTCACTCTTGCAAACTTTAGTTGGCAGAAATTGAAAGAAAAGTTGTTGTTGATGATGAACTAGATACCTGTAATAAATATTTATCAGTGCCACTTAAGCAATGCACCATTTTTTGATTGCTGAAACAACCCTTCCAGTTGAAATTCTCTGTCAAATGCAGATTGTTTTTCTTGGTTGGCAGCCCAGAAGGAAAGGGAGTGACAGGTGCTTGTACACTCGCATGTGCACATGCGAACAGGGTTTTGTGTGTGCACTCCAAATGGGGCCATGAACAGGTGCATGATGCAAACAGGGCCATGAGCACATGTGCAATGTTCTCACTGACACTAGTGCCTGCGACCCACATGGTGACACTAGTGCCTGTGCAACCCTCATAGCTACCTTTGCAGTGACACTAGCACCCATGTAACCCTCACGGCGACATTAGTGCCCGCATTACCCTCATGTGACCCTCTTGACAATGGTAGCACCTGTGCAACCCTTGGGGCAATGCTAGCACGAGTGGGGAGAAGTGTGTGTACACACGCATGCTCACTGGCCAGCCACTCAGGCCACGAACCAGGCCACGAACCAGTAGTAGGCCATGGCCCACAGGTTGGGGATCTCTGGTCTATGGTAAAGATTGTAGTGAGTACATGTAGACCTCAATGTACAGCCATTCATTTATCAACTGTCCAAAATTACAACAGCGCTGGAAAAAATGACTTATGACCAGTTTTTACACCTGACCATCCCCATGGCCATGTGATCAAAATTATGGCACTTGGCTGCTGGCATACATTTACAACCTTCCCAAGGGGTATCTAACAAGCAAAGTCCATGGGAGAAGCTAGATTTGCTTAATGTCCATGTGATTCACTTAACAAATGCAGTCATTTGCTTAACAATCATGGCAATATGGTCATAAAGTCATGCATGGCTCATTTGTGATTGTAAGTTGATGTTTTTAATTTGTGTCACTGGAGCAACATAATGTAAATTTGGTGAACTAGGAAAAGCTGATTTGTGTGATCAAGAATGAGGATATCTTGTGACAGCAACCAACAAGTTTTACATGAGCTGATTAAGGACAATCAGCAGATCACTAAAATGGAAACTGCTGTCCAGCTTGGAATCTCATAGGAACATATGGATTACAATATTGATGGTTCTTCAATACTAGAAGATTTGTGCAAGATGAATTCCTTGCATGTTGACAGCAAAGATTAGACTTCAAGAATTGAAATTTGCCTGCAATTGTTATCTTGACAAGAATGAAGATGAGGAATCCTTAACATAGTGACAGCCAACACAACATGGACTGATCATTATTAACCAGAACTAAAGCATTGGTTCATGGAATAACATCACAAAATTTCACCCATGGAGAAAGTTTTCAAAACCAGATATTAGCATGTAAACTAATGTTTACAATTTTGGGGGATGTTATTCACATAGATTTCCTTGCAACTGACACTATTATCAACTCACAACACTGTATTGCAACACTTTGAAACAATTAAGCAAAGTTTGAAAGAACCAGAAGGAATTTTTAATGCAACATGACAGCGCTTAGGCTTTATACCTAATAAGCCACCCATGAAGCAATTGTGAAATCTTATCCCATCTATCATACAGTTCAGACTTGGCACCATGTGACTTCTACTTTTTGGGCAAAATTGAAAGAGTACCTTCATGGGCATCTATTTAACTGAAATGAAGAGGTGGAAAGCAATGTCAAGAACTGGTTGAAAAGACAAAGAATAGAGTTCTTTTGTGATGCCTTTAAGAAGCTTATCCATCCTTGGCAGGTGATTATATGGAAAAGTCAATACAGGTAATATAAGAGCTCATTTCAAGAATTATTCTTCTGTTTCATTTATTAAAATATGTTATTTAAGCTAAGTTATGGAAGTGGCGGTAATACTCTTCATTCAACCCTCACAGAAAGCTTCCACAAGAGGAAGATTTGTTTGATTTGTTTATATTGATTTACAATAAATTACAAAGTGGTAATATTAAAGCACTGTAACTATGAAACAGATTTAGTAATATGACAAGACATAAGTAGATAATTATTTAGGTTAAGAAGTTATATTGATATTAGCACTAAGAGGTTCATATCAACAAACCTGCAAATATAAATACAATTTCTGGATCAGCTTTGTTGCAAAATGATAGTGTATTAACACAGTTATGGATCTTAACAGAAATAATTTCCAAGGAATAAATTGTTTTTGGCGTTCAAGGCCTTATGCCAGTGGACTTTTTATCAAAACTTAATTGTATAGTTACATCATTTCTTTGTTGGTTTGATATAAATATTATAAAGTTGATCATCTAATTTGCATTTGTAGGCATCCTGTCAAAACAACAAAATGGGAGACCATAAACATACAAACTCGATTTTCCCTCTTGGCTGTTTTTTGAAACTCATTGATGTCACTTCCTTCCTAAGTCAGCAAGTGAATTTTTCTTTAATTCTTAGTCCCAGCTGTCTATGTTGTCAACACGAAGTTATTAAAATTCCTTTAAAGTGAATAAAAATAGCCTAGAAACAAATGTAGTGGGAAGCAGGAAAGCATCAGTATTCAAAGTCCACAAACCTTTGAGCTAAATAGAGTTGAACCAAGTAGAGATTGAAAACATTGGTCTTTCCTCGCATCTTGTACATCATTAAAGGTTGTTTAAAATACGTTTGCCTTAATCTTTTATTACTCCCAAAAAGAGAGTGCCTTATTTGGTTAAAAAAAGTAGCCTCAAGATGTGAATTTTCACAATGATGTTCTCAGTGAACTCTATTGCCTACTGAAAGTCTGCCTGAATAATGTTGATTTTCTTTCTCAAAGCAGGAAAACAAAATGCTATACTATTATGCAGAAAGTAATTACCATAAAGAGGCAATCCTTGTCATAGCCTAAAGCAATAAATAATCTTGATTTTGGTTTATTTTTTAGGAAGATTATTATTTTAGGAGATCATTAGGCAAGTTACTTTCTTACTTGTAACAGTGTAATACTTTTCATCCCATCAACTTACTTGATTTTGAACATATTTATTTTATTTTTATTATATTTTTTAAAAGCTCAAGATGACTAAGATTTCTTCCTCATTTATCTTCTGAATAGCATGGTAGATGATGATTGTCTCCATTTAGTTTTCTGCCTGAATGGAGAATGTATATTTAAGCCTGATTCTTCATAATTTAATATATATTGAAAAGGTAGATACAGCCCTGTAAACACTAGCGATCCAGATAAAGGAACCAATTTGTTTAGTAAGAAGTTGACATTGCCCCTTCCACAATACCACACTTTTGAGTTATGGTATTATTCACCCATGTCTAAGTCATCAGAGACTGGAAGGAATTTTCTGTTCCCATTGTCAGTTCCTCTCTTGCTTCTATTCCCAACAATTGCCACATTAGCTGACCTTTCTCCAGAGTACCAATGACAAAGCCTAACATATATTATATACCTTAAGTCAGGGGGTCAAACTGCCGGCCCATGGGCCAGTTGCATCATGCGGAGGCCGCGCCCACCCCAGCTCCAACAATGTGACAAAAGTCACGATATGTCGCGACACGTCACATGACATGGTTTGGAGTTATTCATGTGTGAAAGATTATTCTCTCTATTTTGTAAAATATGAACTATAAAATGCAAACTATTTGACATTGTAATGGTGTATTTCTATTTGACCTGTTGTGAGGTATTTTTGATGATGGCTATCTTACAGAATCAAGAGATGAAGATATCGAACCAGAAATAGTTCACCTACTGTAAATGGGACAAATCATTATTCTAACGCGCCTAAAAGCCATTTTATAAAATCCAACAGGAATGATTCAAACACTTCTAAAAGCTGGTCGTTTTTTTCCCCCTTGACCTTGTTTTGAAACTGATATGGCCACTTTCTCTGAAATAAAAACTTTTTTCTTTTTTTCAGGGACTGCAGAAAAAATGCAGCAGCAGATGATTAATCAGGTATTTTGACCATTTTTAGATATTTTTCAGTTGCACGGTTAATAAAATCTATGCACTGTGCATTTTTACATGAGAAGAAATAACACAAAAATCTGTATCTAGATATTTATGATTTATCTTATAAACAATTACATCAATGAAGGCCTATAGGCAACCAAACAGGTAGCAGAAATCCAACAGTAAAATGATCATTTACAGGTAACATCATGCCTGTTTTTTATGTTGCATATTATTTTCTTTAATAGCTGTCCAGCAGAATTATGTCTTTGGGGGACTACTCCAAAATGGATTGTTGAAACCATGGATGCATGCTGTGACTCTTTTACTGGAAGTACTCCAAGATCCACAGCCTTGGATGGAGATTGAAATGGATGCTCTGGCTGTTTTACTAGACGTAGCCAGGAATAAATTAACCATAGAAATCCATGCAATGAATGGATTTTGTAATGTGTACATAATAGAGCTAATTTTAATCCTGGTAACTATGGCTAATGTGAAATGTGCCAACTAGTTATTGAGAGGATAACCAATTATGAAGATAATAGCCTCTCCTGAAGGAACCATTCTTACTGTTCCTGAATCAAATTCAAGGCAATCGTTATGATGCAGACTAGAAACTGGGAAGTTCTAGTCCCACCTTAGGCATGAAAGCGATTTGGGTAACTTTGGCCCAGTCACTCTCAGCCCAAAGCCCAAGGTTATTGTTGTGGGGGAAATAGGAGGAGGAAGATGTTCATTGCCTTGAGTTACTTACAATGATACAAAAAGGCAGGAAATTAATAAATAATATAAAACACCTATGGTAGATGACTTAGGAACTAATGACACATCTGGTTCCTAATACATCTGGAGAAGGCTACATCTGTCAGTGGTGCCTTACATCAGGATGCAAATTCTTGATTCAAATGGCCTCTTGTGTATTTCTTTCCCTGATCCAATGCAGCTTGTACCAATACATTTAACAAATTGAGCCAGCTTAAGATAAACTAATCATCCAAATCTTCAGTTAAACTGTTGCTGTTCAGCTTACCAAACTGCTCATATATTCTCATGTATCCTAGATTTTAAGCTGCTTATAGTTATTAGCATGCTGGAGTTTTTGTTTTGATTTGATTTGATTGAATGTTTATGCTTTGTTGGTTTTATTTATTACAAATAAATATAATGGTCATCATTGGGAGGATGTCTGTATTCTAATATTAAAAATCAAGTTTTAAAAACTATTTTAAAAGATTAAATCCTTTTAAGATGACTACACAGGTGTCCTGTGAAATGTGACTTCAGAATAAAAAAAATCTATATTATAAACAATAATAAAAATGACAGAAAACTGTTCAAAACTGATTACAGATAGTCCCCAATTTACAACCTGTCACTTAGCACCCATTTTAAGTTATATTGTAAACTATCCAGTTCCAAATTTCCAATAGCTATCCATTCCCCCTCCCCCCAGTCACGTGGCCACATTTTGGGTGCTTGCTTAACAACTGTGGTTGCTTAATGACTGTGGTGGTTGGTTTATGACATGGCATTTGCTTAACAATCACCACCAAAAAGGTTGTAAAACTAGGTCCAGTCACATGCTGATGTGCTTTACAACCATTGACGACTACCTGTACCACAAGAAATAGATAAAAGAATTATTAAGAATTAATTAAGCTAATACTCAGTATATCTTTGATGAGAAATTAACCATATATAACAAAGTACAAGAAATTATTTTAATGTCAGTAAGGAATTAAATCTCTGAATTAAGTGAGGGAGGGAGGGAGGAAGGAAGGAAGGAAGGAAGGAAGGAAGGAAGGAAGGAAGGAAGGAAGGAAGGAAGGAAGGAAAGTTCACCAAGTTCCTGGTGTATGTTTGGTTTGATCATGAAATCTGAATGAACCATATTTGCTTATATAATTGTATTTTTCTTAACTGTGGTTGTCTCTGACATGAAAAGCATTTAAAGGAGAGACTAGCGGTGAGATTGTTAGACTGAATAATTTTCTTATAAGGTTCCATCCTTTTACCAAGCTTTGTCTTACAATATGTTCTTTAAAAAATTTGTCCTTTTTTATCGCTAAACCGTAAGTATCTATAAAGCCCAGAGATCAATATAAGATGGTCGGCTATATAAATGTTTTAAATAAATAAATAAAATAAAAAGCTCCTTCCAATATTGACATTCTACTATTGGGGATCTTATCTATTCTAAGCAGTTTGCTCTCTTAATTATTTAGACAGATTTGTACATATTTTCAGCCATCTATTAATATCATCATTAATTTATGCTATACAGTTTTAAAAATTCCAATCTAACAAAGAAGATATTTCCCTAGGGATAATTATCTTCAAATATTTCAACAATCCTATTTTTATATTTCTATACAACTTACTTATTCAAAAAAAACATTAAATTTATTTCGATTTCTGGTATATCCAGAACATTTACAACCTCAACATTAGATAATATAGAACAGGGGTATCAAACTGCCAGCCCGTAGGCCGAACACCTCACAATGAAACCGCACCCACCCCATTGCCGGCAATGGGAAAAAAGTTCCAATATGTTCCATGATGTCACATGATGTCGCAAGTTTGACATTTCTGATATAGAATATCAATGTATCTGAAGGTGTTGAAATTGGGAAAAAAATGTTTTCTTAGCCTCCTTTCCCATGTTTGTTAGAAATGTGCTTTGAAATAAACCAATACAAAGCAAAATATATTTTATATCTTGGTCACTTTTGTCCCTCTTTGGAAGATTAGGCTTTACTCTTTATCATTTTCTTCTGTTTTAACAGGATTTTGGAAGCTATTCTACTGAGGAATCTAAAAAACCAAAAGAAAATTGGATTGTAGGAAAGTATTTTCACAAAGACAGTAAAGCTTTGATTGAGAGTGAAAATTCTCAGGAGTCCTATCTTTTCGGGGAAACAGAAGATTCTTTGACCACTAATTTTTCTGAAGACCCACAGAAGGTTCTTAAACAGCTCAAAAAAATGAATTTTTCATCCACCAAGTTTTATCAAAATAAATTATTTAATAGGAATAATAACTGGAAAACCACCGATGAGATACAAGAGAAACGGAAATTTTTTCTTCGTAATATTTGCCAAAAATATGTTAATGGAAACAGAACCCAGACACCTCTTGTGCACATGGTCTCTAGAATATACGTAGAAGATAAATACAAACTCTTGTATTGTGAAGTTCCTAAAGCAGGCTGTTCCAACTGGAAAAGGATTCTGATGATACTTAGCGGTCTCACAAAATCTGCTGCTAATATTTCTCATGACAGTGTACACTATGGAGATCACTTGAAGAAACTAGATAGTTATAATATAAAAGAGATACAAAAGCGTTTAAAAACATATACCAAAATTATATTTGTCCGTGATCCAATGGAAAGATTGGTGTCTGCTTTTCGGGATAAGTTTGAACATCCAAACAGTTATTACCATCCTATATTTGGGAAGGCTATTATTAAGAAATACAGACCCAATGCAGACCCATTGACAACTGGCTCAGGGGTTCAATTTAAAGAGTTTATACAATATCTGTTAGATCCCTATAGGCCATTAGGTATGGATACGCATTGGGAGCAAATTAACAAACTTTGTTATCCTTGCAATATCAATTATAATTTCATTGGCAAATTTGAAACTCTGGAAAAAGACGCCAATTATTTTTTGAAACTAATAAATGCCCCAGATGAGCTCCTATTTCCTCATTTCAAAGACAGACACTCCACTGACAAAAGAACCAATTCAGAAGTTGTAATGAAGTACTTGGCAGAAATTCCTGCCACAGAGAGGTTGCAGGTTTACAACTTTTATTACCTGGATTATTTAATGTTTAACTATACTGTACCATACGAGACATTCCAATTTGATGTAATACATAATCCGGTTTACCTATAACTTATGAGAAAAAGTATAATTTCTTAAATGGAGATACTTTGATTTGCTAAAATTTGCATAAATGAAAGTGCCTAACATTTAGGAAGCAACATATTGCACTGTGATGTCTGAGAGAAAAATAATTTAATATTAGAAAATTTTAGAATATAATGCAATATAATTAACACGAGTGGCATTAAAACAATTGTGTTTTATTATATTTATTCAGTTGCTACAAATGCATTTTTCTATATTTCAGGGAAGAGCAGTTAGAAGCTGGATTTGTGTTTTATTATCAGTCAAATAAGGAAATATTAGAGAAGAGTCAATATGTGTGTTCTCAGAGAAATGTATGCAATGGTCCAATATTAGCTTATCTACTTGAAAAGCTTATTTCTGTCTGGACAGATGGTGCTTAGAAATAATATATACTGCAACCACTGATTTTTCTAAAACCATAAATATTTTGATTTTTTTTTTAAAAAAAAGCCAGAATTGCAGATAAAAACACACTAAAAATAAAAATAAATAGTAAATAGTTTACTAGAACAAGGGTCTCAACCCCTGGCCCATGGCATCCAGAAATGGGGCCACGCAAACAAGTGAAGCCCCATCCGGGGGATGCAGCCAGCATGTGAAACCACACCCCCTCTGGTCCACAGAAAAACTCTCCACGGATCTGGTCCCTGGTGCCCAAAATGTTTGGGGCCACTGTACTAGATAATAAAATACCTAGCTTCACTACTGTAATATCAACTATAAGACATATTATTTCAACAAACAATTCTTCATTGTGTTTTATTATAGTAATTTTGATAACAATCTGAACACATCTTTATATACATTTTTAATTACACCTTTAAATGCATCTTTATTAACACACCTTTATTAATACACCTTTAAGTATTAAATATATCTTTAATTACACCTTTAACATTTGTTTCATATATAAATTCTTCATTTTTTTATTGTACATCCCTTGTTTGACATTGGTTACTCCAAATATAAGTTGTTCTACAATATTATTTACTAATATCCATTTCACTGTCTGCACAGTTCTTCGGCATCCTTGTGTGTATTGCTGCAGGATCAGATAATTTTGCTTCAATTTGTTTAGTATGCATTTCAAGCATTTTTAACTCTTCTTAAATTAATGATTCATAATGAATTGTCCTATATTTCATGAATGAAGGCAAATCTACAGTATGTGTCCCAGGATAATGTTGCAGGATCCAACCTGGGTCGGTCACTGAGACCATGAGTTTAGTTTTCCAAGCTTTTGGACTTGTGCTAGAGCCCATCCTCACTTCATTCTCACCAGAATCTGCTTTGAGCACACACTCTGGTGAGAGACAAGTTCCCTGAGGATGAACTGATCCAGATTGGATCCTGTCCTATAGTCCTTTGATGGGAGAAAGTTAGCATTTTTTAGCATTGTTTCTAACTTAAGAAATCAATTATTTACTTAAATCCTACGATCAACATCCCAAAGCCTATTTTCACACATACTTCAACTCTATTACTTGTATTTATTGTTATATCTTAATAATGATCTTCATTTCTTTGAAATTATTGAATTCTGTAGGAAAAAAGGACATGACTGTTGAGGAAACAAAATACCGGTAATTCTTCTTTCACTGCAGGAGCCCATTCTAATCAGAGTTGTTCAATACAACTCTTGTTTGTTCAATACAAGCAAAACCCTTTACAAATATGAATAAGAACAAAGGTTTGTGGGATGAAAACTAGTCTCATCTGGCTATCATACTAATAAATACTCAAGGCAGGAATTCAGAAAAAGGCTATGTCTATACAACATCTGAAACACAAAGTGACTAACCATATTTCAGTTTAGTGTGTTGTATAAATCCTTCATGTAGTTAGTGATCAGCATCTTGTGTGAGTCTAATGAATAGGATTAATTGATAAAGCATTGGTAAATTAATTATGTACAAATAATGTAGTTTATGAATATAGCTAATGACTTAGGATGGACAGTCCAGGAGTCAAGCAATCATTTACAGTGCTGGGGATATGGGATTCAAGAATGATGTTGCTCAACCTAAATATGATAGATCACTGCTCCATGCCAGATTGCAAAGTAAATGAGGAGGGGAAATGCTGAATACAAATTTCAGGCCATACTGCAGTGTCTATGACCTAAAAACCAAACCTTTCTCTGTATAGGATTTACATACTTTGTTTTGAAGGATCTTGTCTGATTTTCAGTGAATCTGCCAGAGGGTTCTTTCAGTACATTGTAGAACTATTGATCTACTTATTTTGCAACATGTATAGCCTGCTCTAGTCTAAACAGTCTCTGATAAAAGTGTAACAAAATCAAGAAAAGATAATACATTAAAGATCACACATGGGTAATAAAAATCGGTTTCAAAAAAACCCTTAACACATCATAACGTTGTTCAGTTAAACTAGCCTAAGGGCCATATGACTATCTTTTGAAATGCCTTTAGAAGGAGGTTGTACCTCCAAGGAAAGACACTTCGTAATGGGGCTAGCATGTCACCTGGCCCATCCCACATGAATCTTCTGAAAATGGGAGTCCTGCATCACGCCCTTTCTAGATGACCAATCATCTAGAAAACATATTTGACTTGAGCAACGTATCTCTGGACCATGAAGAGTATTGAAGGTAATAATCAACAGTTTGAATTGAGCCACCGAGCTTAATTCAACTAAGGAGATGACTTCAAAATTGTTGTTTGGTTATTCAGATTAAAGATCAGAATCAGGCCCATATAAAAAGAATTTATAATGCTTTAATAGAATTAGACTCGGAAACAGAATTGGTTAAAGACTGTATGATTAAATGGGCTCAGAATATCCAGGAACCGATCCCATTGGATTTATGGCAGATAATTTGGATCAGAAATGTTAAATTTACACAAGCTCAAAATTTGAGGAAAATTTTTTATAAAATGTTTTATAGATGGCATCTAGATCCTAAAAAATTATCTTGTATGTACTCTAATTTACAACCCAAATGTTGGAGATGTAATACGGATGCGACATATTTTCACGTTTGGTGGAATTGTAAAAAGGTAAAGGCTTTTGGGATTATGATTTGGTAGAACATTCAAAAGATTTTTAAAAGGAAGATAAAGTTTACTCCTCAATTATTTTTATTGGGTATTTTTGTGGACTTAAATGACAAACTATTTTAATGTTGAATTTATTAACTGCTGCAAGGTTACTAGTAGGCTCATATTGGAAGAAAGATTCGTTGCCTACTTTAGAAGAACGGATATTTAAAGTTTCTAATTTTGCAGAAATGGCAAAAATTTCTGCTTATTTGAAGGATCATACACAAGAAAGATATATTATTGTATGGAGAAGATTGATAGATTATAATCAGAAAAAGTATGGGACTACAAACTTTCATTTATTTTATGAGTAAATTTTATAGTAAATGTTGTAGAAGATTTCTTTATGATGATGTAATTTAAGGGGAATTAAGGGCTAAGTATGATTTTTCTTTTCTTTTTTTCTTTTTCTTTTCTTTTTTTTATTATTGTATATTGTTTTTTCTTATTAATAATCCTGTACTCTGCTCTGGGAAGTGAGGGGGGGAGGGTTGAGGGTGGGTGGGTAGTTGAATGGGTGGGTAAGGATAATGTAGATATGGTAGTTTATGAGAGAGGTGCTGCTTGGGCATTTCCCCTATGCTGCGTTCCTGTGTTTGAGAGGGATGAGAGGGGAGGAAGGTATAGGGAAGAAGTAGGATGGTAAGAGGAGAAGGGGAGGGAAAGACAGTTGGAGGGGAGGAGAGAAAGAGGAGGGAAGTAGGGAAGGTATTAGAGAGGGTAGATGCAGCCTGGGGGGAATGGGCAAGCGGCACCAATGGTTATGAATTTATTTTATCTTATAAATTATATTATGTTGAATAAATGGAAAATAAAAACTTTTTATTAAAAAAAATGTTGTTATTCCTACATGATTGGATTGATCCATGAGTTGTCTAGCTGCAATTAAGTGTAACTAACCTGCTATAGCTTCCATGTGATCTCCAATTTGCCGCCATATATAGAGAACATTGCAAGGATTGTAATAAGGGAACAAGTTACAAGTCAGCAATCTTGCTTGACTCAGGAAAGTTTAAAATTATTTCAGTAGCCATGTCTGGGTGAAGGTTCCCTGGCAATAGCTTTCACCAGCTATTTAATCTTCCCTATGTAATTGTCCCTTCCACCAATCCCTGAAACCTAACAATACTCCCATTGCTGGGAGCTCCTTAGCCTCCACATTCTATTTCAAAAGGCTTCGTTCCACCCCTTCTTCAGCCTTCTCCATCTCTCAGCAGGGAGAAGGGGAGAGATGATGGAACTGTTCTTTTTCTTACCGGTTACTAGTACTCTTCCTCAAGCCTGCCTAATGTTCTGGGGATCCAGGGTTAATCTCTGGAACCATCAATCCTCAACAGCTGTCAGAACTGTTCTCCAAACAGCAGCTGGGTTTCTGCAGTAGTAATTCACCACAGTTCCTTGAGTCACTCAGTTCTCATTCTATTGTGCTTGGTATGTTCTATTACTGACTGGTCTGCTCGATCCAACTAAAATAAAGTGTTCCTTACCTGTATAAAATGAAGCCAAAGGTACAACTGTAGCCTCTGCCTTGGTGCATTTTCTGATTTTGAAGCCATCATCAAATTTCAGTGGTGATTTCTAAACTAGTGAAAAAATGAACAGTTCTGAATGAGATATTACATAATTTTATTCACTTATTTTTTATATAAATTTGCAAATTGATGAAAAGTAATCATTACAAATCCTCTTCATGCCTAATAATTTTACAGGTTGTATAGAAAATAATGGTTGCTTAAGGTATTCACTTCAGGTAATAATAGCTGCTTCTCTTGGATGCTTATTTCCAAAATCATGTCAATTTTATGTAATCCAAATATTATCCTAAATCCTAAAGGAGCATTTTTTCTGATGATACTCATATTCTGTCCATGAAAGAAATTTGTTTAGACTTCAGGTGTTAAAGAAAAAAACAACAGAGATAATTTCTTTTTTTCTGTTTGAAGCATTTTTCTCTCTCCTTGTTCCTTCTGCCTTGAGATTTCTGGATGAGGATCATCTATCTCTTGCAAGAAGTCTAAATGGATCCTTTGCAATGAAAGGATGAAAATAACCTTACAATCTAATGTGACATAAAGGCTGCAAGTTGTCCAAAGTGATTCACACTCCTATAAGAATATTCTGTATAGTTTTCTAACATTTCAACAGTTTTCAGAAATGTAAAGAAGTTCTGTTTAATATCGCTTGGCTTCAATTTGCAGCTCCTGAAAGATTTCAGGTGACTTATCTTACTTAGCTAGAACATGATGGCCAATTGGCATACTGATAAAGTTGAACACAATAAGAACTTCAGAAGAAGCTTTAAATTTCTTTTAATCTGTCTGAATCTTTACTCAATACAGCTGGTTTGAGAACTTTTTACTCAACATTCATCTTCAACAACTATGACCATAAGCCAGTGATACTCTGCTTGAAGAAAATTCAGCATTCTTTGAAATATGAATAAATATGAGGCTTACCACATCACAGGGCTGAAATATTTACAGCAAAGTTCAATTGCTTTCTGCTCCTGCTCTGTACAGAAGTAAGTTTTATTTAGGTCAGTTCAGAAAAATAAATGTTGGCACAGATCTCGTAGCAATAAATGCATTTCACAAAACTTCATGTTCTGGGACTGGCTTTCTTTTTATGTTGTTCCCCTATTTAAATTCCCCCTTTTGTAATTCCTCTTTGTTTATTTCCTCTTCTTTCAACTTTATTCTTTGCTCCCTACATTCTTGGCAGCAAGTTTTTTAAGCAGACTAGATTTCCAACTCAAGGGAATGCAGACCTGAATAACAATGATTTGGGATGAAGATAGCGTGAGATTCCATGGAGTGTTTCTTTCTTGTTCTACTGTTTTAGTTCTCAAAATTGTTTCAGATTAAGTATCCTCTCTGCACTGGCTTATTATTAAAATATAACCAAGTTGGTGCAAAGGATAGATCTATTTTATAAAATGTATTTTACCAAATAAAAAAATTAGGAAGTATGTCTAAATCATTTCAATTTTTAAATATGATGGTTATCTCCAACTGGTATTACAGTAGAAGAAAGACAACATATCACTTTTGTGTCATTTTTAAATAAAGAACATTTGATTGAATTTGGATGAGTTTTAAGTTCATTAATTGAGAAGAACACCTTATACAAAACATAGTAAACTGGTGATTATACCAGACTTTTAAAAGTTAGATATCTACTTTAAATCTATTTATGAAGAAGATGGAGTGTCCATATTAAATACTAAAAATATTAGGCTTTCTTAAAAATGCATTTCAACATAAACTATTACTGAATAATTTAGGAACTGCCAAGTCAGTCAAATTTAAGAAGAGAAACATGTTTGTGAAACATTTCCCATGCATTTCCCATTTCCCTAGTTTTAAGACCTGAGAATGTACGTGCAGAAGCCTAACACAAAGCAGCTAGCAATTCACTTTCAGTTCTGTTTTTCTTCCAGATTTTTTTTTTTTTTTTTTTTTTTTGCCAAAGAAACAAGATCTTCCAGAGTACATTCACACCAAACTATCCATTTTCTTTCTGCCAAAATTGTTCTGCTGGCTGAGTTGTGTTGGTATGCAAGAATCAGCAGTTCATTCTTGGATGTTCTGTTTGCATTTATTAGATGATAACTAAATGTATTGGCTTGGAAAGAAACAATGTGGATCTCACAGAATTAAACTATTTTGCTCTAGTTAGTGGCATGAAAAATCCATGATCTCATCCTCTGATGAGAATGTCAGTGTTTTAAGTTTCATTCACTACTACTTACTATATTAGGAAAATAAAAATAAAATTAAAGAATAGGAATATTTCTCCCACTTCAATGTTAAAAGTATCTTAAATAAAACACGGACATGAGCCAAGCTTTTCCAGCTATTTTGACTCTTAACTCAACTTGCTTTAAATGGAGGTCCAACACATTTGGAGAGCATCTAAGTTAAGATTAGTGGAATCATTGTGGTTCATTTACTTCTTTAAGTAGTTCTTTAAGTACTTCCTAACATAAATGAGGCTAAGTAAATATTATCAGAAAAACCTTAAATGCCAGTGAAAAATATTTGAGGCTCCTTGGTCATTCAACTGATTCCTAGGCTTGTTTCTGATAATAGTCAAGATGTTCTCCAAATTAAAAAAAAACACAGAAGTGCTAGTAAAGAAAAGGACAGAGGTCTTCAGATGTTTTGCATCTTTGACAAGCAGAAGTTGAGTTTATGTGCTACTCTAAGTCTTTGTTTATTAAATTATAACTTCTTGAATAAACAAAATAGACAAATTAGAAACAAAAATTAAAATAAGCAAGAAAATGAGGAAAGAACACCTATTCGACCTTGATGAATATAAATCACAAGGACCCGACAGATTACATTCCAGAGTTCTGAAGGAGCTGGCAGATGTTATCTCAGAACCATTGTACCGTATCTTTCAAAAAGTCTGCAGCACCGGGGAAGTACCTGATGATTGGAAAAGAGCTGATGTGGTTCCCATCTTCAAGAAAGGAAAAAAAAAACAGACCCAGGAAACTACAGACCTATCAGTTTAACATCAATACCTGGGAAGATCCTAGAAAAGATAATCAAAAAAACAGATCTGTGAACAATTAGAAGTAAACAAAGTTATAATTAGTAGCTAGCACAGGTTTGTCAAAAATAGATCATGCCAAACCAATCTTATTTTATTCTTTGATAAAGTGACTAAATTAGTAGACCAGCAAAACACTGTGGACATAGTATACTTAGACTTCAGTAAGGCATTTGACAAAGTAGACCCCAACCTGCTACTTAGTAAGTAGAAAATTGGAATAGACAACAACACCTCAGATGGATCTGTAGCTGGCTGACAAACCATACTCAGCAAGTAGTCCTCAATGGTACTACATCCACATGGAGAGAAGTAAGCAGTGGGGTATCACAAGGCTCCATCTTAGGCCCAGTACTCTTCAATATCTTCATTAATGACTTAGATGAGGGAATAGAAGGGGAACTCATCAAGTTTGCAGATGACACTAAGCTGGCAGGAATAGCTAACATCCCAGGAGACAAGCTCAGAATCCAAAAAAATCTTGACAAACTTGAACAATCTGCCCTATCCAACAAAATGAGTTTTAATGTGGAGAAAAGCAAAGTTTTACGTTTAAGCAGGAAAAAAATCAAAGGTTTAAGTACAGATTAGGCAAGACTTGTCTCAAAAACAGCAACTGTGAGAGAGTCCTAGTAGACGATCACTTGACTATGAGTCAGCAGTGTGCAGCAGCAGCCAAAAAAGCTAATACAATCCTGGTTGTATAAACAGAAGTATAGAATCAAGATCACGCAAAGTATTAGTACCACTTTATAAAACCCTAGTAAGACCACACCTGGAATACTGCAACCAATTTTGGTCACCATACTACAAAAAAAGATGTTGAGAGTTTGGAAAAAGTTCAGAGAAGACCAACTAAAATGATCAAAAGCCTGGAGACTAAAACATACAGTATGAAGAACAGCTGCAGGACTTGGGTTTGGCTAATCTAAAGAAAAGAAGAAATAGGTGTGACATGATAACAGTGTTCCAGTATTTGAGGGGCTGCCACAAAGAAGAGGGGGTCAAACTATTTTCCAAAGCACCAGAGGCCAAGACAAGAAACAATGGTTGGAAATTGATCAAAGAGAGAAGTAACCTGGAATTAAGAAGAATCTTCCTAACAATGAGGACAGTGAAACACCTTGTCTTCAGAAATTGTGGATGCTCCATCACTGGAGATTTTTAAAAAGAGACTGGACAGTCACTTGTCTGAAATGGTATAGGTTCTCCTGCTTGAGCAGGGGGCTGGACTAAAAGACCTCCAAGGTCCTTTCCCGATTCTATTCTATTCTATTCTATTCTATTCTATTCCATTCCATTCCACTCCACTCCACTCCATTCTATTCTAAATAGGCTACAATTTGCTAGGTTCCCAAATGGCACAAAAGTGAAAATCAAATCAAGCACCAAATAATATGTGAAATCCACTTGTGAAATCTATTTCTCTCTCTCTCTCTCTCTCTCTCTCTCTCTCTCTCTCTCTCTCTCTCTCTCTCTCTCTCTCTCTCTCTCTCCCTGTTTAGACAGAAGAAGGAAGGGGAGAAGAGAGAGAGAAACATATATATACATTTGCTTTCATGCCTACAGTAATCCTTTGAATTTTCACTTCCAGTTTTAAAAGTTTCACAACTGGAGGCTTATGGATAATTGCTTCAGTGATGCGTGTAGCTGAAAAGAATTTAATTTTGGATTTAATGGTAATAGAAACTCAACACTTGCAGTGAAATAACAAATCTGAAGCTTCAACTGGAGAGGAACTACACATACAGTAGTGAATGACTGGCATGTGAAATCCAATGTTTCTCATCCTCTTAGCACAGATTTTCTTCAGACAACTTTCTTGCATCCCCAGCAATCTTAGCAACAGACTTCCTTACAATGTGAGTGTGTGAAAGCATTATTATAAAATTGTACTGTAGGTTTTCTTTCTGTCATACTTTCACTACAAATTCATCTTCGTTTTCCCAACCTGAAGTTTGTCAACTATACTGTACTACAATTGCCCATCACCTCAAGCCACATACACAAATCTCTCAAAGTCCTTCAAGCAATTAAGCAATAACAACAACAATGATGTCTGATTACAGAATGAGAATCTCTCTTTTTGAAGAAAGAAATGTGTGTCAACTGTGTAAAATGGAAAGCAACATCTGGATTGCTTGCTGCTCTCTAGCATTGTCAGACAAGATTTTAAGCACAGGTATATGTTGAGGAGATCTCTAATTTCCAATGCCTGTTACTTTAAAAAATTAAAAGAAATAATTTTGATTAATCAAATTCAAAAAAAAGACCCAGGAGGAGCTCATCAATAATAGACAAAGAAAAGAACAACAAATGCAACATTGTCATTCCATACATTGCAGGAATATCCAAAATTCTCAGGAGGATTTTCAACCAACACTACATACATGCACACTTTCAACCCAAAAATACACTAAGGCAAAAACCTGTCCACCCCAAGGATAAAACACCCAGACACAAACTGAGCAATGTGATATATGCAGTACAAAGTAGTGAAATATATAGATGTCTGTGCATTGGAGAAACAAAATAATCACTTCACAAATGCTTGGCTCAACATAAAGGGAAAAAAACACTAGGACAAGATTCAGCAGTCCATCTGCATTTGAAAGACAAAGGTCACTCTTTTGAAGACAGCAAAGTCCACATTCTGGACAGAGGACTGCTGGTTTGAAAGAGAGGTCAAAGAGGCCATCTATTTTAAGACTGAATAGCCTTCTCTCAATAGAGGGAGAAGGATATGACACTACATATCTCCTGTTTATAACACAGTCCTTTCAGCAGTTCCAAGAAGGCTCCACACCCATTTGCACTCTTCAGATAAGACACAGATAAACCTCCAAGTGGCCTCAATGACTCTCAGAATTACTGCAAGCAACCAGATGACTGCTAGGAGTATAAATCCTTTTATCCTCCATCATACAGTTAGAATTGAAGAAGCTTCTTGGATGAAAAGTGAAACATCTTCAAGGAAAAACAAAGTCCAGTTGCCTTTTGAAAAAGCACCTTTGGAACAAACATGACTTAGACAACAGAATCTTCATAGACATCAGCCTGGAAGATTGTCATATTAAAGGGATGTCCCGGTGTTCAGCATTTGTTTAATATTTGATGCACTGCGATAGGAAGAAAGGAACACCAGCAGAAAAGGGGGTGGCTAAAAGGAGGAATGGTATATTGCAGGCCATGAAGGACTCACTGCTGGCAGATGCAGGAATGAGTAACACGTACTGGGGAGAAGCCATAAAAACAGCCAACTATTTAGTAAACTGGGTATGGAATGTTGCTATCAATGAAACTCCATATTACATGTTGTATGGGAAGAAACCTTCATTAGCTCGCCTAAGGACATTTGGCAGTTATGCCTGGGTGCATAGGACAGAAAAATGCCAGGAAACTTAGGTTTGTGGAATATGATCCAGGTTCCATCAAAATGCATTGAATATCAAATTTGATGAGTTTTGAAGCAATCAAGTACCAAGGTACCACTGTATTTGAAAAGATCTCCACTCTTCTTCAACAACATATTGTGTGTAATCCAACCTGAGATACCTATAATCTAGCACTGCATTATCAATAACTTTATATTTTCAAATTACAAATTACCAGGCTAAAATTAGCATATATTGGACATATTATGTGATGACCTAGTTCTCTGGAAAAGGGTTTAATGTTGGTAAATCTGGAAGGAAGGAGACACAGAAAGCCAGTAACAAGGTGGATGAATTCAGTTACAGTGGCAATGAGTGTACAACTGGAAACCCTGAAGGACAAAGTTAGGAGTATGTTATGGAGACTATCTAACTAATTGGTTGCTAGGAATTGAGACTAACTTGATAGCACAATCAACAAAGATATTTTTAAGTGCCTAGTTGCAAGAGAAAGAAATTCTGGCCAAATACCTGAGATAAGAAGACAGCTGAATTTGCACTTTTGCACCGATGCACAATTCCCATTTTATTTACCACTGTTATTTACCAGTGTTATTCCTTGCAGCAAATTATTACCTAATTATTTAAGTGAAAGTTAAGGAAACAGGCTGTCTTTTGTATTTTTCCATAAAAGCCAAAACAAACTCTAAAATGCTCGAATCAATTGTGTTTCCTTTTCTACTTTCCCAGCACATGACTATCTTGTCTGGCAATATAGTCTGTATCTGTTGGAGAAGATTAGTCCTAGTAAACTCCTGGGATGGCAGCCAGCATTAATGGAGCAAACCCTTGACTGGTTTCTTGTGCAGTTCTTGATATACATTTCAAGGGATGAAGCATTTCTTAGACCTTAATGAACTGGCCAAAATTGGATCAAAATGTTCAAAGTCTGAAACCTGTACACCACTATGTAATCCAATCTGAAAAGACAAAATTAAAAAGAAAACCAGGATTATGCTTGATATGTTTCAGAATAGGAAACAGAAGAGTATACATCTTTGTTCTGGGATGTATTTGCAGGTTATGTTTGTTTTTATTAAAAAGTAAGGATCTGTTTTTGTACTATTGGCCAATTTAGGGCAATGTTGTCTGCTCCATTTTCTAGTTAACCTTCAAAGAATCTTGAAAGTCTGATGCACAGTATGTGTTCAAATTCTTAAGACAGATTGTTCATGGAAACCTTACTATAAGCAGCATGGGATAAGCATCAGGTGATCAACAAAGCCACAGGAGAACCTGTCTAATGGGTTTAATGTGCTTTCAGAGACAAGCCACGCTTTATTTTTCAACTTGCTTTACAACAGACATGTCAAACACAAGGCCCGGAGGCTGGATGTGGCCCATGAAGTGGTTTCATGTGGCCCGCAAAGCCATCCTGGAAACAGTGAGGGAACGGCCCCCGCTGCCTTGGCCCTGGCCCAGGCCAGCCGAGAGCAATGTACATTTTTGTGGTGGTCATCTATGCTGAAACGCATTCAGTTTTAGCTCCACAAGGTCATCGAAAACAGTGAGGAGCTAGCCCCTGCTATGTCAGCCCTGCCCCATGGGTGCATGCGAAGGAGGTGTCACCCTTTGTGAAGAATGAAGAAATGCACATTGCCTGGAAGTGGCCAGCAAATGGCCCTCACCTACTTCACATATCCGGCTTGATGGGCTCCAGGGGAGAGGTTTTGGCAAGCAGGGGGTGATCTCTTCACAATGCCAAGAGGCTGAGCCGGGCAGCGCAAATCCAAAAACAAGTGCGATGCTGACCAGCCCCAGCCTGCCCAGTTTCAGCAGGCAGCAAGGTGCAAAACTGATGAGCTTCGCACCACTCAGCTCAACCTCTCACCACTGTGAGGAGAGCGCCCTACTGCCTGCCGAAACAAGGCAGCTGGAGGCTGGGTGGCATCGCACTTCTTTTTGGATTTGCACTGCCCCGTTCAGCCTCTTGGCTCTGTGAGGAAAGCAGCCCACTGCCTGCCGAAACTAGGCAGGCTGAGGGCTGGGCAGCCTCGTGCTTGTTTTTGGATTCATGCTGCCCGGCTCAGCCTCTTGGCACTGTGAGGAGAGTGCCCCACTGCCTGCCGAGACCAGGCAGGCTGGGGGCTGGGCAGCATTGCGCAGGTAATGTTGATTCTCACGCATCCCCTCCCCCAGAGCCCACCAAGCCAAATATGTGAAGTAGGTGATGGCCATGTGCTGGCCACTTCCAGGCGATGGTGTATTTCTTCATTCCTCATGAAGGGTGACACTTCCCCAGCTTGTTTTTTGCCTGTTTTTCTCCCTCCCTCATCTCAAATATTTTGAGGCCTTTGAACTATGGTGCTGGAGAAGACTCCTGTGAGTCCCCTGGACTGCAAGGTAATCAAACTGGTCAGTTCTAGAGGAGATCAACCCTGACTGCTCTTTAGAAGGCCAGATCCTGAAGTTGAAATTCAAGTACTTTGGCCACCTAATGAGAAGGAAGGACTCACTGGAGAAGAGCCTAATGCTGGGAAAGATTGAGGGCAATAGAAGAAGGGAACAACAGAGAATGTCATGGCTGGATGGAGTCACTGAAGCAGTAGGTGTGAGCTTAAATGGATTCCAAACAATGGTAGAGGACAGGGAGGCCTTGAGGAACATTGTCAATGGGGCGGCGATGGGTTGGACACGACTTTGCAACTAACAACAACAAATGCCTAATTTGTATTAAAAGTTGGGTACAAAAATTGCATATATGCTATTTATAGATGAGACACGAAACTATAGGGAAGCTATAGGGAAGAAACATCATGAGTAGGTTCACACACAGTCTATATGATAGGGCTTAGAACAGCCTATGGCCCCAATTTAGGGGCAAGTTTATCCCAGTTCCCATACATCAAATCACATTAAATCACATTAACCTTTATTAGGATCAAAGATCCAGCATAAGAAAGGTGGAATACAAAAAAACCATAAAAAATACAAAAAATCACATAAAAAGCTAAAAAATACAAACACAAAAATAGTTAAACAATCTAAAAGGAGAGATAAATAAATGAACATAAAACGTGGTAAATTGAATCAATTAATACAAATCATACAAGAAAAAACCTATAATAATGCTCTAGTGCTCGTTAAAACTGACTTGTGACACTGATCATTTTCTGACATATTTTAAAAGTTACAACACAGAACCCGGCAACACTGTATGTTGTAGCAGGGTTGGTATGAATGCATCAGGGAGATGTAGAATTGTCCTGTAAGCCCTGGATATATATGTAATAATGCTGAAATAAAGCTATTATGAACGCCTCTATGCATTGAAGAAGCCCATACTCTGTTTTTTTGTACATCCAGAGTACAGAACATTGTCTTCCTGGCTGGGGAATCTTCGCCTATCAGAGATCAAGGAGAGCTAAGGGGAAAAGCAAGACATTTCAAAGTTTGCTAAGTCAGCCATAAGGGAGGTAGAGTACCTGCTTTCTCCTCATACTTATAATCATGATTTATCACTTGTTGTTTGTATGTGCACTGAGAGCTTATGCACAGGAGACAAATTTCTTGTGTGTCCAATCACACATAGCCAATAAAGAATTCTGTTCTGCACTTACCACCTGCAAGATTAGCAAAAATGTTTAAAAACATGCCTAGTAACTATTGGAAGTGCAATCAAAAACCAGGCACCTACTACCATATTTGGTGGACATGCCCTAAAGCAAAAAAAAAAAATTGGACAAAAATACATATCTGGCTAGAAAAGATGTTAAGAAAACATGTAGATTTTAAACTAGAACTATTGTTGTTAGGTATATTATCAGGAAAATATGATAAGAAAATGTATATTTAATGTTGCATGTATTAACAGTAGCAAGAATTGTATTTGCTCAGTATTGGAAAAATGAAGAAACACCATCTGAAGAAGAGATAATCAAGAAAATACCAGACTGTACAAAAATGGATAGACTAACGTTGAATATTAAAGAAAAAGAAGACACGGAATAGTTTCAAATATGGGATGTATTTTATCAATGGCTGGAAAAACAAGGATTAGAAATTAGGAATTTAATGTGTATTATTATTAAAAGAATTCTGTTCTGTTCCTTTTATTGGGCCACTGACCTGAATGAAAAGAAAATAACAGAGGAAAATTTATGTTGTTCTAGGATGCAGGCAGAAAAAAGCAAGGTGCAGACAGACCAAATGAATCTCTTGCTGCTGGGGTTCTCAGAGTCTTCAGGAGGGTCAAACTCAGCTTATGGCTTGCGTGATCCCAAGCAACTCTGCTTACATTATGGTTAAGCCAAGCAGAGTTTGGGGCGAGGGAAGTCCAGATAAAGAGGCCAAGTACTTCGTTTGCGTGCGGCGAGCGCGCCGCTCCTGGGTCAAGCCGTTCTGCTTTGCCACGAGCCAGGCGGGAGGGGGGCCTCTCCGGCTGAGGCACCAGCGTCCCTTTGAGCGCCGCTCGTGGCAAGGGCTGGCGAATTCCGGGAAGCCTTTTCTCCCGGCTGCTCCAACCCAGCGCCTGAGACCGCGAGCCAAGGGCCGGCGCGCTCGGTTCCTCTCCCTTCCTGGGCCACAGGCGCTCGCTCGGGCGGCGGGCGGCGGCTCCACCCCTTTCGGGCTGATCAGGTATGGGAAAGTTATTCAAAGTTCAAATATAACCCAACGCCTGGCCAGCTGTTCGGCGCACAGCCTCCACTTGGAAAAGTCCTCCGGGCCAGACAGGAGCAGTAACCCGATTCCCCCAAGGCCCCCGGGCTCCGCCACTCCCCCTCTCGCGGCTCGGTCTCTAGCCAGGCGCGCCACACGCGAGAAGGCATGAGCGACGAAGCGGCGCCCAGACCTTGGGGGTGAGTCGACTAACCGGCCGGGGGTGGGGGAATGGGGATCGGTTGGGGTACCTCGGTAAGAAAGATGCGCCTGGACTGCCTTACTTCCCACGATTCTCCCCTGGCCCCCTTGCCCAATCCCTTCTGTCTCCGTCGGGCGAAGGGTTTCCACGGAGGAGACCCAACCTTCGTTCTAGCGACCTCTCGTAGCAAAGCTGCGGCGAAGGGCTGCCCAGGGTCTAGCGAGAGATGGGAAAGGCCCCACGCGAGTCCCTCCTCCGAAATTTGACGGGCCGTAGCGAGAAGTTCTTGGCGGGAGTAAAAGCGAGTAGGAATAAGGTCTCTGCGAAGAATTCTTAGAGGTAACCGGCCCAGACAATAAGAGGGCAGAAGCGCTGCGGGACACGGCCTCGCCTTACCCTGGTCCGCTCGCCCTTCCCTTCGGAGTCCTTCCTCTCCCCCTCCCGCTTCCCCCCCAATCAGCTCCCCAAAAACGCGCGAGCAGAGTACGGAACCCCTGTCCCGCGCAGCTGGGTTGTGTGCCGCTGCGCTTTTATTATACACGACTTTCTGATTAAACACGTGGAAATTATACACGACTTTCTGATAATCCTCGGTTCTTCTTCCTACCCAAGTGTTGTTGCAGAATGCACCTTGCGTTGTTGTTTAATCTAATTGTTCTTTAGTTTCTTTTAAAAAGGGGGAACTGTTTAAGAAAGACATTTGCTTGCATTTTTTGTGCCGTTGGCATCTAGTGTGTGTGTGTGTGTGTGTGTGTGTGTGTGTGAGTGTGTGTGTATGAGAGAGAGAGAGAGAGAGAGAGAGAGAGAGAGAGAGAGAGAGAGAGCTTGTGGAGGCTCGGTGAGCGTATTAACGGTATGAAACGTTATACCTGGAAGATTTGTAATTGCTAAATGTCAAGGGCAGTTCCCGTCCTTTTCACCTATGTATTTGGAAAGGATCCTAGAAAAACTCCTTTGCCAGCAGTTTGCGCTGCCTCGTAAATAGATCGCAGCGCCTCTGGACGCGGACCCCGTTAGAAGCTGCCTCCACGGCGCACTATAAATCTTCCCCAGCTCCGCTCCCCGGGGGAATGGCCCCGCGCGCTCCCTGGGCTTCCAGCGCTTTTCTGCCTCGAGACTGACGCTGCCGGTGCTGCCTTCCTCTTCGGTTTCTGCTGACCTGCCGAAATCCGGAGCATTTAGCGCCAAGATAAAAGGCCTGCAAAGATAATCTGGGGTGTCTTCCCTTCCTCCACCCCTCCATCCTGGCTCCCGACTCAAAAGGCCAGACTGGAAAGTAGGTCGCTCCGAACTTGGCAGGGGAAACGCGGCTCGGGTGCTTCTGTTTGGGGAAAGGGAGTCCAGGAGCGCACCCGGCATGGGATGGAAAGACATGGTGCAAAGTTCCTGTTAGATGGAGAAGTCGGCTTCCTTCCCTTTCAAAGCCCGCCAGATGCACAGAGGAGATCAGCCAGGAGCAAGGGGACTCTGGTTCAGCTGAAGGCCTTCATGAAGCAGTTAAAGAAAATGCCTGGTGTGCTGCTTCCCACTTGAGAGTGAGGCCGTCTAGCCAGGCTAGGAGATCAAGGAAGCTGAAGTCTAACTGCTCTGAAGAGCGCAGTTGGGGGAAGGCAGCCCTAAAATCTGGATGGTTGTTCATTCTGTGCTGATTCAAACCATGCAATATTGGCATCAAGCAATGGACAAGATAGTGAGTTGTTTTGCTTAAAGCCATCTTTTTGGGGGCATGTTACTCTTCTGAGGCAGTTTTAAGAACTCTAAACCGCACACAAAAATAATTTCAGCAAGAAAAAAATCTTGGAGTTGACATTTTCCCCAGCCACAGTTTTTTTTTTTTCTTAACTGTGTTTGCAGAGTATTTTGGTTTGATTTTTTTTTTCCCCTAGGAAGAAACCAGCAGCAATGGGCTTATATTTTATCCCTCTGAAGAGGATATTTAGAAAGGGGCACTTGCACTCAGGCCAGAAACAAATAGCCTGTTTAAGTATTCACAGTAATGGACCTATGTAGTGTAATCTATGATCCCATAAAGCTTCAGGCTGCCATATTTTATACAGGGTTGTAGTTTGTGAAATACCTTCACATTGCTAACAGCCCAGCGCAACTCATCATGCTTTCCCTAACATCATTTAAAACTCTAACCCAAGTCACCTTTTGTCAAAGTCACTTTGTTTGCTCTCTGCACCTTTGAATGGTTTTCTAAATCTACCCTTTCTGGCAATCCCTGCCATTAAATCAACCAACAAGATAGGAATATCACCAACCAACAAGAGGAATATCAACCAAGTCAAAACATTTGGTAATTAGTAATTGCCACAAACAATTATTATTACATCATTTAAAAAGATGGCACAATAGCACTTTGGATGTGCTGGGATGCTGGCTATTGAATATATCTGCACAATATTTGGACTAATTGGGACTGCAGCTTTGGATACTAACAAAAGATAGACAACGGGAATCAGTTGTTGGTTGTAGCTTAGTCTGATCAAGCAATTAGTTGTTTCACAAGTTTCTTGCTCATTCCAAGCATGTTTCTGCAAAAGTATTTTTGGAATTCGCAAATATCCAGTATTATTTGGAAATACTGATTCTTCACAAAACATGGCAACATTGAGCAGATACATACAAAATTTCCCTTTACTTCATTTCCAGACCAGGATAAATTATCATTTGCTAATTTCTTTTGTCTTTTGGGATGATGTTAATAGTCCAGGAATGCTGTACAAAGAGAAATTTGGAAACCTTCTTTGGTGTTTCTAACTACCCTGCTTTCACTTTATGGACCTTGTTTTATGCTCTTGTTTAAATAGAAGTATTTCTAGATTTTCTATTATCTAGTCCTAAACAAAAAACATTTCATGTTAAAACTCAAAGTATAGTTATTGGAAGCTCTTAAAGTGTATGAATCACATGCCCTGTAAACTTTTGAAAGCTTCGTTGAATTGTAGTATACTGATATTTAAAATATATGTCAGCTCCTGCTCACTTAGCAGTTCAAAAGCATGCAAGCGTAAATAGATAAATAGATACCATTTCAATGGGAAAGTAACAGCATCATATGCACCTCAGCATATAGGCATATTGGCCAATGATCATGGAAATGTCTTTGGGCAACACTGGCTCAGTCAGCTAAAAAACGGAGATGAACACCACCCCTTACTGTATATTTGGACATGACTGGACAGGGGAAACCTTTACCTTTATATGAGCAGAATCTTGATTCTATTCCATGGAAGCATTATGTAGAATAACCTTCCCCAATTTGTTATTTCTATATATACTGTCCTTGCTAATTCAGGCTACATGATTGTAGAATGATGGAAATACATTCAAGCTTGTTTGCACTGTAAGCCCATCTGGTCTTTGGTAGGAATAAGAAGCAAAATAGGATTCAGATAGAAGCAGATGATGGAACAATGCTTGTAGGAGTAAGCAGTGGGTGGACGAAGAGACAGTATGGAAAACTAAGCCAACATCAAAGCAGAAATGTAGGGTCAGAAGGAAAGAAATCATATTAGAAAAGAACAAAAGTCAGAAGTCATGCATTCTCCAGACGTCTTAATGAGCAGGCAGCCATATAGAATAATGCATATCTTACTCAGATTCTTGTAGTTAACCATGGAATAAGCCATGACAATATTTTTTTTTCCTGCTATATCCTCAGAGTGTTGGCTTTATCTTCTCAGCCCATGAATGAGACAAACTGCCATATTTTATCACTTTATTTGTCATTTACTCCCATTGTTCTAACATCATCCAAAGGCAGACTCGAGGTATAAAAAAAATCTAATAGGCTGTGATTATATTATATTAGGGAAAAATCAGTTGGTTGTCAGTAATTGGGAACAGAGGCAATGGACACTGCACATTTCCTGCTGGCTTCATTTTCTGCTGACTCAAGCAGATAAGACTTTAAGCAACAGGGAAGACTTGAAGCATCCAGACTGAACTTGCAGCACCTTGGATAGCTCTAGAGACAATTTACTGGAGCTCTTGAGAGGTAGGATAGCACTAAGTCTCAATCTTATTTTTTCATGGGATGTATCCCTAGTTTTCCTAATTCAGATAATTCTCACCCCAGTATCTAAGTACTTCTGCAAGTCAGACCTCCTCACCCCAACTATACAAAGAATGTTCAGTCATGTTGTGGTGTATGCAATATATTTTTAGATAATGTTATTTAGCAAGGCATCTTTTCTCACACATACCATTCCTGAATGGGTACTGGGTACAGAAGAAGATTAATTTCTCACTTTCATCTCTGTGCTTGGTTATTCTAGGTTCTAAGATTATTTATAAAAGCCCATCACTTGTTACTTCTGTGGCAATAACTTTAAACAGGAATTGGAGGTGGAGAGTATCGATAAAGCATGACAATATAGTATAGAGATGACTAGATGGGATCTCTCCCCCCCCCATTGTTTATTCCATACAGATGTGGGACTGTTATTGGCTAATTACAGATCTGTGATAGATTCTTACAAGCTGTTTCTGTCATTAGTTCTTTGCAAATGATAGCATGTTCATTAAAAGCATTTTTTAAGTGACAGGATAATCCTTATGCTGCTTTGTTTTCCTTTTCAGTAAGTGTGGCCGATGGTGTAATTGTGAGGCTGTCATGGCAGCATTTAAAGGCATCTGGACCAAGTCCTTCTGGAAGTCAGTGTCAGCAGAACTTTTGGCCATGCTCATTTTTGTCTTCCTCAGCCTTGGCTCTACTATCAACTGGGGTGGAAGTGAAAAACCCCTTCCTATGGACGTGGTCCTTATTTCTCTATGCTTTGGACTCAGCATTGCAACAATGGTCCAGTGCATTGGACCTATCAGTGGTGGCCATATTAACCCTGCAGTGACCATTGCAATGGTTTGCACTCGGAAGATCAGCCTTGCCAAGTCAGTCTTCTATATTGTAGCCCAATGCCTGGGTGCCATTGCAGGGGCAGGGATTCTCTATCTTGTCACTCCATCAAGTGTAATTGGGGGACTGGGAGTTACCCAGGTAGGTTGAAAGAATGGAGAATTACCCTTTCTAATGAAACACAATAAGAACCCAAACCTTGCAAACCTATTTCAGCATTTGCTGAAAGGGAAAAAGGCCTTTCTTCCTGAAAAATGGCTGAAGAGTCTCCCCATGCTTGAGAGAATGTGATTGATCCAAAGTCAGGCAATCAGTTTGCACAGCTAAAGGTGGACTTGAAACTGGGTTTTCCTCCACAGGCCTAGTCCATATCTTCACCAGGACATTTTCTTTCCACATCAAAGACACTGTGCAGTAGATACTTTGCCACAGTCTTGGGAGCAAACCACATCCACAGATATTAGATTGAGGAATCCAGAAAAAGGTTTTAATTGAGCTATTTATTGGGGAACAGTGCTCAGTTAATACATTCAGGGCAAAAATGACTTTTTCCCCCGAGGAAGCTTCAAGTAATTCTTGTTTTAATAAGTTTACAAAGCAACACTTTTGTAAAGTGTGGTCTCTCATTCAGATTACATTTATACTGGCTTCCACATTAATATACAAACAAACATTCTAAGTCTCATACACACATTCATGTTTTAGCATGGATCCTTGGACAAGATCTGGATAGCTTAAATTCACTTCAGCATCTTTTTATTGTTACAGATGATAATGATGATGTAGATGCCTAGGGCAAAAAATGAATAGAGGTTGTTTAAATTATATTAAATCTAATGAAAGTATTTTGAGAAACTGCTTTAAAATTTGAAGAGTGGTTTCTCAAGTGGTTCCTGTGATTATTTTTTAATTCAGAAGTGACCTTTTGATAAAACTGCAGGCTCACATGGAATGTATTGCTTTGAACGGATTTAGAATGCCTTTAAGAAAAATGTTAATAAGAAATTTTGATAGGCAGGGTACCCTGTGCCTCATAAATCCATTCTTTACTGTAAACTAACTGCTAAATATTTTGCAACAGTTATATGCAAGTATCAGGTCCTAGTAAACTATGGGGGGGGGCATATGCAGTTTAACTTAAAGCAAGGAACTGTTTTTATTCTAATAGATTTGATGTACCTTATTTGCGACTTTTATTCTGTAGTTAGGAATTGTTCCTTAGTAGATATTTCTAACTAAAAGAAGAATTCATATAATCATAACATTCAGGCATGAAATATTTTAAGAGAAAAGCATAGATATATTAAAACAAAAGAACTGTATATTTTAGATAACTTTTTAAAACCAGACTTTGCTTTTGGTTCTAGCTTTGTTCTCTTCTATCAATTAGCCTCACTGCAGGACATGAAACTGCACTTACATGCTGTCAATTTCTATTTGAAACTGAAATTATTTGAGTAAGAGCTAATTAATGGATTCATAGCAGAAAACTAAATCATGGATCTGCTGAAGAAAAAATAGAAAAATAGCTGTATTCTTAAGACTCTTTGTGTGAAATTCCCATCAAAAACCAAGAGTTTGGAAGGGGGCTGTTTTGTATTTTATACACATACACATATAAATAAGGCCCCTAGCTGATGTTGAGTGTAAGGCTGTTTGTGAGTGTGCATACCACACAAACCTATGGTCATCATGATTTGGGGGAATAAATCACATTGGCTTAATTTACTGCTGTCAACTATATATCATAATATATAAGCCATATTAGGTGTACCTACATTACAATCATCTTATGATTTAATGCATTGCTGTTTCATGAAAGGACACAAAATACACAACTCTGTATTCCAACAATCCAATGGCTAAGAAGCCATTAACAGGAGCCTTTCAGAGCTTTCTGTCAAGGAAGCCCAGATTACCCAAGAGGCTGTTACTTAAAAGGCTTTTAACAGTGTATTATTTTCTTGCCTTATTCTATTTTCTTTCTTTCCAAAACACTTATTTACTTTGAAACTGTTTTAATTAGCGGGTTGGTAATTACAATTTCACACTTTATTTATGCTGCCTGGCTGTCTGTGTGTTTCTTCTTCCAGATACATGCAGAACTTTCCAGTGGACATGGGCTCTTGGTGGAGGTGATAATTACCTTCCAGCTGGTTTTTACTATTTTTGCCAGCTGTGATTCTAAACGAAATGATGTCACCGGCTCTGTGGCAGTGGCAATTGGACTATCGGTTGCAATAGGACATTTCTTTGCTGTAAGTTGCCAGCTTCTTTTATTTGCTTTTTCAGCTAGGTACTTGTAAATAATATAGAGTAGCAGTGTTTTAAGTAGCTTATTAGCTTATTATTCTGAAACCCGTACATGGTCAGAGGCTTAACTTTCAGTTAATTTTATTTAAAATATTTATGTGAAACTAAGTTTATTTGGAATCATTTGAGTCAAATTAATATTAAAATGTATAACATTCTTATAATATATGTCTCTTTCACTCTTTGGGGGGGTGTATAAATATACAAACAATATGTAGGGGACTGGAAGATAAAACATATAAAGAACAGTTGCTGGAATTGGGTATGTCTAGTTTAATGAAGAGAAGGACAAGGGAGGACATGATAGCAGTGTTCCAATATCTCAGGGGCTGCCACAAAAAAGAGGGAGTCAAGCTATTCTCCAAAGCACCTGAAGGCAGGACAAGAAGCAACGGATGGAAACTAATCAAGGAGAGAAGCAACCCCTAGAACTAAGGAGAAATTTCCTGACAGTTAGAACAATTAACCAGTGGAACAACCTACCTCCAGAAGCGGTGAATGCTCCAACCCCGGAAATTTTAAGAAGAGACTGGACAACCATTTGTCTGAAATAGTATAGGCTTTTCTGCCTAAACAGGGGTTTGGACTAGAAGACCTTCAAAATCCCTTCTAACTCTGTCATTCTATTCTATTCTATTCTATTCTATTCTATTCTATTCTATTCTATTCTATTCTATTCTATTCTATTCTAAAATGGCAAAACACATCTACTAGTGTGTAAATATTTAATTTATCTTATTTTATATTAATACTTTTAGTTAGCTTAGTTTGTATGTGACTAGAAATAATGCTGGTCCAAGTAAATACACGATTTTTTTTATTATTTTATATATCCTATATGCCACTCAACTCCCAATGACTCTTGGCAGCTCACTGTAATTATAATAATGTCAATCAAAGGTGAAAGATGGCAAGCACAACAGAACAGATGGAATGTGGCAAAGTCTTCAACACTTTTTCCAATAACAGAATGTGGGAAATCCAAGTCTTGGGGAAAACCTCTTTCCAGATGCAGCATTGCACATAGAAGGCATTGCACTTCTGAGAACTCAACAGATGACATTGTTTAATTGAAGGATCCTGGAGCACCCTAATCCTCCCAGATTGAAGAGATTGGGCAGATGCTATGGGGAACAGGCAGTCCCTCAAGTGACTAGTATACTATGACATATAAGGATATATTCTGTGTGTGTGTGTGTGTGTGTGTGTGCGCGCACATATGCTGGAATTTATTTCTAATATTTATTTATAGTGTTTGCATGATGGACTGTGGCCCCCGTGCTATTTTATCAGGATGTTTAATACATATAACAGTAACACAGTCACTTTTAACAGTGTAATGTATGAATCTATTATCATTTAATGTCCCAATATCCATATATGTTATTGTTTCTTTATGGTTTTAAAATGTTTTAGTCTTTTAAGTGTAATATATTTTTTAAACTATAAATTGCCAAGCGTCATTAACTGAAATGGGCAGCTATAGAAATTGAATGAATCAAAAGGAAGGAAGGAAGGAAGGAAGGAAGGAAGGAAGGAAGGAAGGAAGGAAGGAAGGAAGGAAGGAAGGAAAACAGATCTAAAGCTGGAAAGAAAGCACAGCTCTTGGAAATGATCTAACTGCCTTTTTCTAAGCCCCTGCAAAAATGTACATAGTGTCAAAGATACCCTATCATCAAAATCCGCACTTATAAAATGCAGAAAAAAAATTAGAAAATGTGTTGCCAGTCAAATGGGAAGGGCTCAAAGGGCATGATCGGACATGAGTTCAGAGGTCAAGTGAATTATGTAAAAAACTCACCCTTATGGTAAGAAGCAAGTGAAACTTGCTCCAATGGGAAAAGGCCAGCAATGCCATCAGCAAGTTTCCTTTCCAAGCAGGTGAAAATCACCCCTGGTAACCTTTTTCATCCACAGATATGCCCCCAAGGAATGAAATGCATAAGAGCCCTAGAATTGGCATCCATCATTTCTGTGCCACTGGAAAAGGATGATGCTATAAGAATTTTAACTTCATGTTTGATAATAGTTAATAATACTCTTCCTCTCCAAATATTTATATATTTGCATGTGTATACTTACTGCAGATCAATTACACAGGGGCCAGCATGAACCCTGCTCGGTCATTTGGGCCTGCAGTTATTATGGGTAACTGGAAAGATCATTGGGTAAGTTATTATACTTTAGTATTCCTTATTTTTTCAGACCACTTAATATCTATAATTGTTATTTTGCTTGGTTATTTTATAAAAAATAAATAAATTATAAAGTGGCTTTTGTGTAAAAAGGCACAACCAGGTTTTTTTATTTGCTAAATCAAGATTACTTTGTGGGTACTTTACCTGTGGGGAAGGAATCAAAAAAATCAAGATTGAAGCTTCACTGCTTGTTTACATTCTCCATGCATGGGACATACTAAAAAGGAGGGTTAAATTCCATAGTTGCAGTTGTCAACTTGACTTTTTTGAGCCCCCCCCCCTTTGCAGGTCTCCTTCTTATATTTGTTGTTTTCCATCATGAATCATAGCTTTCATAAAAAAGAAAACAGATTATGATCCAAATCAAAATTCAGAATTGTCAGTCATTCTTCATCCAATACATTTTCTTTGAGGAAAGGAACAACATAACATTGTGGAACAACACTACAAGAACATCTAAAAAATGTAGATTAGTTTGGTTGGGTCTGAATATTTGCGCAATGCAGAATGTATAGAAAAGGTATCTACTGCTAAACAATAAAAGTTGCTGGCTTTTATATTTACTTGTGGAAGTGTGGGAAGGTGTAACCAATCACATTATTGCAAGTCATTTGCCAAAGGAACTTTACTATCTGCCCTTTTGTTTATTAGTCAGTTCTTAATTTCTCTGTATCAAATTTTGTCTCCTTCTGATTCTGTACAGGTGTATTGGTTGGGACCAATTATAGGAGCTGTCCTGGCGGGTGCCCTTTATCACTATGTCTATTGCCCTGATGATGAGCACAAGTTCAAGGAAACTTTTACTAAGACAACTCAGCAACCCAAAGGAAAATACCTTGAAGTAGAAGACCCCAAGAGCCAGAGGGAAACAGATGATCTACTCCAGAAACCTGGAATGGTCCACTTCATTGATCTGGAAAGGGGTGATGATAAGAAAGGAAGAGATCCTACCAATGAAGTGCTATCATCTGTATGACTAGCAAGAAGCACTGAAAGCAAAGATCAGCCTGCTAGTATATTCACAGATAGTTTTCCACCTATAAAAGAGACAGACCTATTGTGAGTTCTTCACTTGAGATAACTTCAAATGTTGGGCAATATCATCAATGAATTAGCTGTTTAATCAGATCATATGTGAGAGGATAGTGTATATATATAAAACTAACAAGAACTAATATTTAGAATAAAGAGAGAAGACAAAAGTGCAAAAAATAACAAACAGGAAAAAGTAATAAAAATAAATGACTTTCAATTTTCTTTTACAGCAATTATAAGTATACATTTAAATTAACCTCTTATTCTATGGTTACAACTTTGCTTACATTTTTTCTATAATCTGTATTTTTTCTAATCATTAAACCATAATTTCATATTTATTCATTTTCATAATGCCACACAAAAACTTAAAAAGGGATTTCAAATCAGCATTGACCTTAGATAATGCTTTATCTCTAATTAAAGTTGTCAATTTAGCAATCTCAGCAAGTTCCATCATTTTCACCATCTATTTCTCAACTTGTTAGTAAAGTTAAATCTTGCCACCTTTCTGCACATAATAATCTCATTGTAACTGTCATATATAGAAACAAAGTTCCATGATTTTTCACATCAATGTTTCAATTCCCTTTAATTCATCTTCTAAAACCAATACCAGGTTATCTGCAGAAGCTCTTAGTTTTAAATCTGTTTTTCACATTTACATCTTTAATCCTTTAATCTTATATCTCTATTCAATATTTTCCAAACTAAAATAATAAATAAATAGAATAAATAAACAGAAGAGGAGATAATGGGAAACCCTGTCTTATTCTTTTTCATATCTCACATGGTTTAGTTAAATCTCCATTTACAATTATTTATGCAGTCTATGGAGTATAAATTAATTTTATCCTTTTTATGAAAGTCTCTCCAAAATTTATATTTTCCAAAATTTAATAAAATAGTTCAATTCTAATTTCTCCTGGGGAATCTTATGCCTTCTGTACCAAATAGAATAATACTGATGAATTTTTTTTGTATATTATCCATTAATACAGTGAAATTTCCATATTGTTTTCTTTTTCTTTTCTTAATTTATATGCAAAATGTTTCCTTGATTTATTTGCAAATACCTTTTTTTTGCTTTGCATAATTCATTTTTATATCCATTTCTTTTATTGTAAACTTTAACAGCTGTTATTGTAAAATTTTAATTTGATGAGAAATATTTATCTGCTTTGGAGATTTAATTGTTCTTTAATCTCATCAAGATAGTCTATATTTCTCTTAGTTCGTTTTTTAAGTTGGGTGTTGTATTGTATGGTCTCATAAAAACTTTACTTGAATTCCACACCATTCTTAAATCCATGCCCATATTTAAATTATGTTCAAAGATTCTGTTAATTTCTTTTTATAATCCATCATTGGTTTTATAACAATATTTCATTTAATCTCCATTTAAAAGTAGTAGCTTTACCTCTATAAACCTAACTCATGAGATTATGATCAGAAACAGGTTTTGGCAAGATCTCTACTTTAGAAATCTTAGTAGCTAGGTTCTATAAAAACCAAAATGTATCTATTATTGAAACAAATCTTTGTTTTTCTGAAGAATTATATTCTTTAGAGCACTGGTGTCAAATCACCGCATCATGACGTGTTGCAACTTATTGCCCATAGAAACAAGAAACTATTAGATTGTTCTTCTGATTCTTAATTGGCTGCTGTCAGTTCTGATGAGTATTTTCATTGTAAAGTCTATGTCAAACTCAGTGGTATGGGGGACATGAAAAAGCTCTATCAGAGCATTTGTCTGTCCCTTCCAAACCAATAAAACATTAATTGTTTCCTGTCTTCTCTCCACCAACGGTCTTCCTCATTAATAATCTTGCAATTGAAATTATTTTACATCCCAAATAATGCTAAAAATATATATACCAATTTATAATGTCCTTCCGTGCAAAAGATCTCACAAAGTTTAGCTGCTCATCATAAAACTAATAAAATGTGTAAGGATCAGAAAAAAGGTGGAAACTGATCTGCTTTCAGTGCACTTATTCAAACAAATAAAGCATTACTGTGCCAATTTTATATAAATGAAATGTTTAATCTCATCCATTTTGCATACACTGTAATTTTTAAAAAGTAATTATAATAAAGAGGTTTATTTATTAATTCTTTAAAATATTACCGGAATATTTTTTGGTAACTGATATTTTGCATTCAAGTGACTAACAAAGACCTACTTCTAAATATATTGCCTGTTTGAAAACATACACTGGAAGGAAAAATTATTCAGAAAAACACAGAGTGTTACTTTGGACAGTCACTGGTACTTATGGCTTAAATTGCTCACCCCCAACATGTACATATTGCAAAAACACCATCAGCAAAGTTAGTGTGGTTTTCCCACAGGAGTAAAATCAATGTAATTAAGCGGCCTCTGAAGTCTTTCCATGTATCAATTTAGAGAAGGCCAGAGAAAGATGGCAAGCCGTGTCCCTCCCTCTGGTGTTGCATACATGATTCATACAAAAATGGAGGGCCTTGATTATATGTCATAAAGCTTGCAAAAACGCCAACAAAAAGTTGTTTAAAGCAGAGGTCCCCAACCTTTTGGGCACCAGGGACTGGTTACATGGAGAGAGGTTTTTCCGCAGACCAGAGGGGGTATGGTTTTGTGTGCTGCCTGTATCCTACAGATGGGACTTTCCTTGTTTGTGCGGACCAGTTACTGGCATGCCACGGCCCAGTACCAGTCCACAGACCAGGGGTTGAGGACCCCTGGTTTAAAGCATAACAAATACCAAGTCTCAATATCTTTCAAAGCCATACAAATCGGAAAAAATCACACAGCCTTTTATTGATATGAAAAGGATGAATTTATTGAGCCTCAAAAATTACAATCTAATACAGTTGCATGAGATACTTCTGAATTGTTTTTCAAAGTAATAATTATTTTATTAAACATTAAAGCTTCACTTTTCATATTACAACTATATATTTGACTTGAGATTTTTTTCTTTAAATGTATTTTTTTAATGTTTTATCACATATTTATACCATACATTTTGTTCTTATAAATTATGATAGAATTAAATCAAAGGATTTTGTTTCAAGCACTTTCTAATAAAAAAAAAATTACAGCAAATCTCTACAGTTTCATTTGGTATACTAAAGCTGACCAGAAGGGAAGGTCAGAAATTTTTCTGAAAGGAATATTTGTGTCAGCCATCCTTCCTGCTTTTTAATTTTCCTGGTTTTTGTCTGTTACCCAAAAACATTTTGTCTGCTAGAGGATTCCAAATCTGGGAAAGGGGAAAGTACTGCATGCTAGAAACATTTTTTTTAATGCATTCCTATTAATGCCAGCAGAAGGAAATGTAGCATGCTAATGCTGGGTTGATGTAATTTGGGGACATTAAGGAAAGAAGATCTGGAAAAAGAAGAAATTGAACCCTATAAATCTTGGGTGTGCAACATTTAACCCTTGGGCAAAAATTGTGTAGCCCATGGCTTCATTGCAAACTTAATGAAATATGGAGATCTCTGACCAGATAATTATGATAATAGCTATGTATTCCTTCCCTGGAGTCTAATGTCTTGTGAAGGAGGGGAGATGGTGGGGAGAGACAGAAGGATATCAGAAGGGAAAAAATGGAAATGTTACAGAGTTGGTAATTCCCCCACTTTTGTTTAAGTAAAGTTTGCTTCAAACATGTGGCAGCCAACCAAGTACCTGTGAAGGGAATTTACTGTACTTATTGAAATATAAAATATTGCCAATTTTTAAATAGATTCATGGCAAAGCCAGTATATTCCATTTAGGCATAAGACCTCTGCCATCACAAAGCTTTTACAGAAAGCCCTTGGAACTCTCTGTGGGGGTCTCTGTCTTCATTGGAAGAGCTGCATTTCAATCTAGTTCATAAGTCCCTTTAGCCTGATGTGCTGCTTACCAAACTAAAATAATTTGGGTAAGTGACTTTAGAAATGTAATCAGCAGAATTTTTATGTGTACTGTATATACATAACTGTCAGTGCTTTCCCAATTTAAGCTTGTTATCTACCAGATACCAGCATTTTTATTTAGTCTCTGACCTGGTTGAAGGGAGAACCAGTTTGGTGAAGGGGTTTAGGTGCTGGTCTGGAAACCAGGAACCAAGCCAGCTGGGTTCCAGCCACTCTATGTCTCATCCCAACCCACCTCACAGGGTTGCTGTTGTAGGAGAAACAGAAGGCAGGACAACTAGATATGATAGCTTGAGTTTTATATATATAAACAGCAGGATGATGATGATGATGATGATGATGATGATGATGATGATGATGATGATGATGATGATGCATATCAATTTCTTCATCAATGAAAGAATATTTGTAGCTCAGGGTTGAAATGAGGGGTTCTTGGTGATCTCTGAGCTTGCTTGTTTTCTTACATGTTTCTAACTAGGTAACATCATCAATGCTAGTCTTGGTGATGTTACCTGGTTAGGGTAATGAAACGTCTGCAAGAAAATAAGCACGTTCAGAGACCACCAAAGACTCCTAATTTCTTCATCATTTGAAAGATGCCCCATTTTGAAAAATGCTCCATCTGAAACTGGAATAATGCTTTGCTAGATGTGGACTGGGGTCATAGGACATAGCATTCTGCTTTGGCATATGCCTCAAAGGGAATAAACATCAAAGCAAGCATAAAAAGTTTCAATAAATAAAATGAATGTTACATAGTAGGCCAATTTCATGTCAGATTCTTATTCAAAAACTATTTTTAAAACATTTATTCTTTCTAGGATTTGTAATTTGAGATGAGTTGTACAAAAGGATTGAATGAATATATGCCTATTACCAGAATTAAAATGGAAATATTATTGAACCACAAATCTGTTGCCTTAGAAATAATCGATGTAATTCAGGTATATTATGTTCATAATAGATGCTTGTCTTCTATATCTATATCCTAAAGTATAATATGTTGGAAATTAAATATTCAGTGTTTTAAATTAATGGTGCATATATTCTTGGCATACATTCAACAGCATTATAAAGCAGTTAGACAAAACAATGTTATACCATTATGTGCAGCATTGTATATTCATTTTGATAAGAAATGAAGGAACCAATTGAGTTTATTAGCATTCTTTCAGAAGTATATCATTTCCTTTTCTAGGGCACTTATTGTTAATATTGTACTTGACATACTAGTCATCTTGTACATGAATTCCGCTAATGTTAACTAGTTGCTACCATTTGTATAAAATGTAAAATAAAAACGTGTTTTAAAATGCCAAAGAGAACATTTTAAATAAGAACATAAAAATGGAAATGTTTATCCTTCCATAGAATTTGGGTAGGGCAGGGATACAAAAGTGATTTTCAAAGCCAAATTAGAACCCTTCCTTTATTAATCAGGTAATAGGCAATAAAGGACTTTAATAATAATACCTAAATACCTAAAAAAAGAATTTTAGAAGCATTTAATGAATATCTTAATCCCACATATGTTAATTACATTAATTAATATTTTAATATTTAATTAATAACATTTAATCAGTAATAATTTTCCAAAATGCTGTAAAGCGTTCAGAATGTACCTCCATTTGAAATCAGGCAGAATGTGGATTATCTTTTATAGTGCATAAATTAATCAATAAAGTAGGATATATATTGGCATTCTTACAAGGAAATTAAGAAACATACATCAAACAGAGTTTATAAAACTCTGCTTTGATGTCACTAGATGCTGCTAAAGCCTTTGTTACAGTGGAATGGGAATATCTGAATAAATTAGCTGCAGTTCCATACATGAGAGAGAATTTTATTCCTGATTTGGATTGATTATATAATTAGAATTATGTCACAATTAATGTTAATGGTTAGTAGCAAGAGATACAGTACAAATCAAAGCACTACAATAAATAGGGTTGCCCATTATCATCCTTCTTGCTTGCATTTCTAAAAGAACTCTTAGAAACAATCAGAAATAAGCAATATAAAACTGATTAATATAGTCTTATCCCTTGGAAATCCAAATTTATAAATCTCTGAAGATAGCATTACATGTAACTTGTGTTTTCATTGTTATGTATAACTTTACAAAACCACAGATGTTATTTTCATCTAACAAAGTACTGAAATAGAATGCTGAGTTAATGATAGAAGCTTGCCTCATTGACAATTAACAAGATAATTGTATATCTCATTTAGGGGTAAAACTTCCCAAGGTGATCAATAAGACTACAAGACTATTCCTGTTGATTAAATAAATGAATAATGATCTTAATAAGCAGTCTAGATCATGGATGAGTAGGATAACTGCAATGAAAATGTTCCACCCCTAGACTGACATATCTAGTCCAAAAAATACTAAGTAATATGCTACAAAGGATGGAAAAATAGGTAAAGAGGTAAGATATCATGGTTCAATAAGATAACTATCTATTTGCAGGAGGAGGAGACCTCGGTGTGCTTAACTTAAAGAGGGCAATTGGAGGCTTTTCTGTAATTTATTTATTATAATCTAACAATTCTATGGCTCACTATGCAAACTGAGACCTGCAACAGAGGATGTGTAAGACCGTAATATTTTTTTTAATGTAAAGCTAAGTAATTTTTTCAGATAGCCATTCAATCAGTCTAAAAAGGAGTGAACTATGCATTGATGATTTTTTTTTTTTAATAAGGACAGTGTTTAGTTCAAAGAACAGCATAGAGCAAATATCTACAGACTAGGGAAGGAGTCTGCAAACTTGGCCTTTTTATGACTTGTGGACTTCAACTCCCAGAATTCCTCAACCCGGCACACTGGCTGAAGAATTCTGGCAGTTGAAGTCCACAAGTCATAAAAGGGCCAAGTTTGAAGACCCCTAGACTAGGGCATCTATATAAGAAAGAACAATGCTAAACAGAGGGATGATTGATTAAATATCTGCTGTAGGTTAATTATAGTTTTTTTTACAAATACCTCAAACATCTTATTTATAACTTTAGGGTTAATTTAGTGATCATAGCAAAATTCATGTTATTATTTGATTTCAAGGATCTATCAGTGCATTGGGTTAGGTTTTTTAAAATTGACTGAATTCAAGTTAGTTGTGGATTTTTTTTTTCAAAAATGCAATCCCTGTTACAAATTGGGTCTTTTATTAGTATTGATAACTTGCATACAGAGCTACTAGATACCATACAGAGCTACTACGCTAGAAACAGTAGTGCTGATGTTACTAGTTTGTTAATGAAATGTCTGCAAGAAAACCACCAAGCACTTCTACAGATTCTGATTTTTCTTCCAACAACCACCCATCTACTTATAACTTTTTCAAGAAAGAATACAAAAATATATTCATATTAGTCAATCATATAAGAGGTTATGGAAATTAAGGTTAGAGATTAATGTTTAACGAGCCAGGAGAAGTTGAGCAGAAATAATAATTACAAAGATATTATTTTCTTAACATGGTCTAGATTTAAAGTGAAGTTCATTTGTTTTTTGTTTAAACTTTTTAATTCAGATCATAAGTTTATTCTGCTCTGTCCAGCCTTGTGATCTTGGAGATGTTTAACAGCAGATCTTTTTGCACTGACAAGAAATAACTAATCTGACAGACAATCACCAATGTATATGAAGTAGAAGTTAGCTGCTTTTCATGTATCTTTTTAGGAGTTCAGCTATACTATCTGAAGTTAATTGAACTTCAGACAATAGTAATAAATAACCACCTCCCTACCTCCTACAGAAGAACCAAGCTAAGAAATATTCTGGAAATTATTACAGAATGTAAATCTTTATCTCAAAAATTATTCACTTTATTCATAGACACAGGTACTTAGTATTTTCACATTATGGAAACATTGTAATACAGAGTTTTAGTAGTTCTTACAACGCTTCTGTAACCCAACCACTTTGCAGCACATAGAAGGCCTTGGCTGATTTCAAAAGGGTGAGATGGCTCAAACTTGATCAGTTTTTAGATGGAGAAAAACCCAGGGCTATGGGATGG